TTTCTTAGCAGGACTCTGTCATCTTGTTGAAGGTCCTGAGAATGAATATAAGAACCATATCACCATTTATTTCTTTTAGGATCCTTCCTGTTTTAAGATTTAGCTAAATGGTAGGCTTCTTTCCCCCTCCTGGGTCACTTTCTTGTCATGGTAGAGGAGCTTGCATAGCTCAATGAAACTACGAGTTGTGCTGTGCAGAATTGCCCAAGATGAACAGGTCATGGTGAGTTCTGACAAAAGATGATCCACTAGAGAAGGAAATGGCAAACCACTCCAGTGTCTTTGCCGAGAAAACCTATATGGGGTCATGAAGAGTCTGACACAACTGAATGACTGAACAATAACAACAAAAAAAGCTTCTTTCAGTTTCTCAATTGAGAAACAAAATGGTCACGAGTATATGCAGTCGCTATCTTCAGAGACTCCAAAACAAAGGATGACAGGTAAGTGTGGCTCATGCCCAAACACCAGCAGGTAGGAGCCACTAACATCATTCTTGGATGTATACACAAGAAAAGTTTTGAACTAGTCTCAGTGTCTTTAACACATTCAGCAGGATACAGTGGAAATGTTTAAGCTGTGTGTCCCCATCAGGGTGAGTATGTTGTCCTAGACTTGTTAATGCCAGACAGAACCAATACTGGCACATACCTGAGGCAGGTGACCATCTTTAAAATCTTATTTGCAATTGTTTTCCAGCAGTACCCAAAGGGCTTTTTTGTTTTATGTATTTCAGGGACACCATTCCCTACTGGTTCTCCTCCTTACCTATCTTGCTATTCCTTCTCAGTCTCCTTTGCTAAGTTCTCATCCAAATCACAGCCTCTAACCATAGGTATTCCACAGGGCTTTGTCCTGGGCCCTCTGTCCTTCTCCCTCTATACTACTTTATTTGCTTTCATCACCTCCTATGGATTTAATTATCATCTCTATGCTGATTATTCTTACATCTACCTATCCTGCCCCAACCTCTCTGCTGACCTCTAGTCTCACATCTCCAAGTACCTTTCAGATATAGCAAATTGGATGTCCATTAGAACATCTTAAATTCAACATATCCAAAACTGAACTCATCTTTCCCTTAAAACTTGCACCCCTCCAAACTTCCCTGTTACTGTAGAGGACACCACCATCCTCCCAGTCTCCCAGGCTTGCAACCTAGGTGTTATCCTTAACTCCTCACTATCTCTCACCCCCTATATCCAATATGTTGCCAAGGCTGATAGATTTCACCTTTTTAACATTTCTTGAACATGACCCTTTCTCTCCTCTACTACTGCCACCACTTTGGTATAGGCCCTCATCATCTCACACCTGGACTGTTGTAATAACCTCATAAGGTTGGTCTGCCTGCCACAAATCTCTCCCCACTCCCATCCATCCTCTACTCAGCCACCAAAGTGATCTTCCTCAAAAAACAGGTTTGAAAATGTTACCCTCCTACTCAATAAACTCCAATGGCTTCCTATCAGCTCTACAATCAAATACAAAATCCTCTGTTAAATGTGAAAAGACCTTCATAATCTAGCCCTCCCCCCTACCTTTCCAGTCTTCTTATACTTTAGATCCCACCCCCTACCCCACATATACTTTTCAATACAGTGACATTGGCCACCTTGTGGTTCTGTGAACAAGACACTCCACCTCTTGACCCTGGGCATTTTCTCTAGCTGTCCCTCATGCCTAGAATGCTTTCTCTCTTCATCTTGATTTCCTTCAAGTCCCAACTAATATCCCATCTTCTTTTCCAGTTCCTCTTGATTAGTCCCTTGGCTAATTATTTCCTATTTCTCCTCTATATGCCTCGTTTGTATATGTTTGATTGCTTGTTGTCTCCCCCACTAGATTGTGAGCACCTTGAGGGCCAGGACTGTTTTTTGCCTTTCTTTGTATCCCCAGTGCTTAGCACACTGCCTGGCACATAGTAGACACTTAATAAAGGCATACTAACTATTGACTATGACTATACATAAGTGATATCTGACAATTGACTCATTCTCAGGTGGATATCTAGAAATGGGAAAAATTAGAGAGCAACTTCATGTATGTAGTAGCAGGACTTTTTTGAAGATCCTATTGATTTCCTTCCTGAAAAGGGCAGGCCTCTATCTATCTGATCACAATTCTGCCTATTATAGATCTTAAATAGCATGAAGGCACATTCCAGGAATTGACAGTTCTGAGACTCAACTTTACCAAGAACAGAAAAGAATTAAAAGAAACTAGGCCTAGCAAAATTATACAACAGTTTTTAATACTCCTTTGCCACTTCTAGGTCCTCTCCCCACCACTTCCATCACTCAATAATCTCTCCTCCTTTCAGGTTCAAAATATCCATATCTACCATCCAATCAAAAACTTAGTAGCTCTTGTCTATAGACCTCTAGGTCACTGCCTTTCCTTCCTCAATGAGTTTAATACCTGACTCACAAATTTTCTCTCTTCCCCAACTTCTGCGCTCATACTAGGGGACTTCAACATACACACCTACTCTCCTTCAAACACACTAACCACTAAATTTCTCAACCCACTCATTTCCCATGAGTTACTCTTCCACTCCACCTAAGCCATATACGAAAGTAGTCATAGACTTGATCTTGCCATCACCTACAACTGCATCACTCTCCATATTCAAGGAGTCTGACACCTTATCTGACCATAATCTGTTACCTTTTTTTCTCCCTCTGCCTTCCCTTATAAAACCCCACTCTTTGAGTGCACCATGACCTCTAATCTCTTGACCCCTCAATTCTTTCCCAGGCCCTCACCCCTGCATTAGTGACTCTTTCCTCTTTTCCTCATCTTGACCATTTGATGAATCAGTTCAATTCTACACTGTTGTCTTCTCTTGAGTCTTTGGCCCCCTTGTCATATCATTTATTGTGCGTGGCCAAGCCTCAGCCTTGGATCACTCCTATCATCTGCTTTTATTTCTACACATATGCTGCTGAATAAAGATAGAGCAAATCACAGAACTGCTCTGACTGGGTCCACTACAAATTTATATTACACAGCCTCAACTGGATCCTTCATTGCTGCTAGGCAATCCTTCTATATCTTCCTTATAAATTCATTATCCCACTCCACAGCAGCTCTTCCAAACCTTTTCATCCCTCCTCAAACATTCCATAGCTCTCCCTCCTGCTACCTCTTCATCTGAGAACCCTACCTCATATATTATAGAAAAAAAATTGAGGCCATTTACTGTGAGTTCCATTTTCTCTCCTCTTCCCCACCTCATATCACTTACATGCCTTCTGCCACTATCCCCTTCACTCCTGTCTCACGTGACCTCACTCATTACCAAGGCAAACCCCTCTACCTGCACAAGCAATCCCATTCCAAACCATCTCTTTTGACAGACACCTCCTCTGTTATCCCTACTGTATCATTCATCTTCAATCTCTTCTTATCTATAAGAACCTTCTCTCCTGCCTATAAACATGCTCATGTCTCTCCCATCTTCAAAAACCCTCACCTGATCCTCCCATCTCCACAAACCATCATCCAGTATCTCCTTTGCCCTGTGAAGCTAAACTTATTGAGAAAGCTATCTAACAAGAGGTGCCTCCACTTTCTCTCCTCTCTCTCTCTTAACCCCTTAGATCCTGGCTTTCAACCTCATCATTCCACTGAAACTGCTTTTTCCAAAAGCTGCCAATGATCTTTTAATTGTCAAATCTAAAAGCCTTTTCTCAATCCTCATTCTTCTTGATTTCTATGCAGACTTGGCACCACTTATCACCTGCTTCTCTTTGATCCTCTCTTCTCTTTCTAGATTTTTGGAACATCACTCTTTCCTGATTCTCCTCCTACTTACCTGCTCCTTCTCAGTCTCCTTTGCTAGATTCTTATCTAGGTTATGCCCTCTAAGCATAGTAGTCCTTCAGGGTTTTATCCTGGCCTCACTGCTCTTTCTCCCTCTATGCAATTTCACTTGGTGATCACATCAGCTCCCATGGATTTAATTATCATTTCTATGTCTAAATCTTCCTATCCTGCTCTAAGTTCTCTGATGACCTCCAGTATCACATCTCCAACTGCCTCTCAAACATCTTAAATTGGATGTCCAGTTGACGCCTTAAATTTAACATGCCTAAAACTGAACTCATTATCTTTCCCACTAAAATTTGCCCCTTCTAAACTTCCCTATTACTATAGAGGGTACCACCATTCTCTCAGTCCATCAGGCTTGCAACCTAGGTGTTATCCTCAGCTCTTCATTATCTCTTACCTCCCGTATCCAATCAGTGGCCAAGATCTGTAGATTTTGACTGTGCAACATCTCTTAAACATGCTCCTTTCTGTCCTCTAATACTGCTACCACCCCGGTGTAGGTCTTCATTACCTCATCCATGGATAATATCGAATGAGTCTGTGGTGAGTCAGCCTGTCTCAAGTCTCTCCTTATTCTATTCCATCTTCCATTCATTGGTCAAAGTGTTTTACCTAAGGCACAGGTCTGCAAACATCACTCTCTTACTCAATAAACTCCAGTGCCTCCCTGTTTCACAAAGAAGACACTCTAACTCTCAGTTCTGGGAATTTTATCTAATTGTCCCTCATGCCTGGAATGCTATCCCTCCTAATCTCTCCCTCCCAGCTTCCCTAGCTTCCCCCAAGTCCTAACGAATATCCCACCTTCTACAGGAAGCTTTTCTCAGCCTCTCTTAATTCTAGTACCTCCCTTCTGTTATTTCCTATTTATCCTGTATATAGCTTGTTTGTACATATTTCGCTTATTTGTTGGCTTATTGTCTTCCCCGTTCGAATGTGAGCTCCTTGAGGGCAAGTACTTCAACTAAGTTCAATACATAAAGATTCTTTTAGTTGGGTAAATACTTCTGCCTCCCTTCCCACCTTCTTCTATACTTAAATCTCTGTTTTTCCTCAGTTTTAATATGTTTGCCTAGGAAAACAGTATCCTAGGAAAAAAAGAAAACTAAAAACAAGGGAAAATCTGAATAAACATAGTATTCTAATGTGAATAATTGGTTTACCTCAGATATTTCTGCTAAATAGGCACGTCGTTCATCATTGGTCTTACGGAAAGCCTAAATTAAAGATACATATTAATTCAACATTAAATAATGTTAATAATAATATTAATAAATTTGAATTATCTAGGAACTTCTTAAGTTACATATTTCTTACAAGGCTTTCATTATACTACATACTTTACATATACTACATATACTACATATATACAAGACATTAAATGGCATAGTAATTTCTAAAAAGAGTTGTTTGTTGAACAGAATAAAAACAAACCTTTGATGCTTGTTCCAGTCTAAGCTCATACTCTTTCACTTGATACTCAAGACTTCGTTTTTCTTTTTCTAGCTGTTTAAGTAATTGATTTAAAGAATTCTGGAATTATACAAAACAAATTTATCACATATATTCATCAATAATTACAGAATTTCATACAATCTAGATCTTAAATTATATGCTTCAAATTCTGTATAGGAATTTTTTTCAATGCTGACACTATATTCAAAAGAAATACAGGGACAGGCATTCAAAGAATAAATAGTATTTTTAGTCACATACTTCACATTATAACCTTAACCTTCTCATAGACTTTCTTTCTTTAAGAGATTTCTCAAGAAACTTATGGTTAAAAGGCAATTTGAAAGAGAGTAGAGGAGCCTAATTCCTATCAATAGGAATAATATCTCAAAAAGAACCTAGAACGAACAATCATAAAGAAAACCAAAGAGAGACAAAAGCAAACTCCTCGACCCAACCTAAAAACTGTACAAAAGACAGTTTGAAGCTGGCAGAGGCTATTAGAAGGGTCACACAACAGAAATTCTGAGCAAAACTCCAGCTAATATAATTGAATGTAGAGGCTGGGAAACCAGCACAAACTCCTACAATAAAATGGGCTTGGCAGGTGTAGGCTGGGAAAAAATGAGTCAGTCCAGAGTAGACAGAATGAGACATTGTAAATAACCTGAATTGGAGTGTTGCAAGACATTATGAGCTCCAGTAACCAGAGACCTGAAGTCAGAGCAGAATAGAATCAAGGGACAGACCTGACCCTAATAGGCAATTGGGCAGGGAGACATTTAAACTGTGCGCTCTCTGGAGCACTATGAGCAACAGCAGTAGATAAGGACAGCTAAGGACTTAAGGACTGATGCTAGGGGTGTTGTGCAAGAAGTCTAAGACCAGCATGATTGCCAACATCTGACTGGTTCTTGTCAGAGCCACAGAGAAAATGGAACCAACTACCAATTCTGGCTTCCTATTCAGGAAGATGGAGAGACTTACTGAAGTCAGAAACTGTAGGGGATCACTAGAAGACTGTGGTAGAAATCAAGAACTAAGGCAAAAATTGGAGCCCAGTACCAGCCATCTCATCCAGACAGGAACTGATAGCAGACCCAGAATATAAAGGGACAGAATTAAAAAAAAAAAAAAGTCTTGTCAAATTCATCCAATAATGCAAGAGTGGGCTGGTCTGAGCACAAAGTCCCCAATCCAAGAAATGAGGGTGGAAATATGAGTAAACAGAAGAAAATACCAAAAACAACGAAGAAATTGCATAGGCTAAGAGAAGCCAAAAGGGCAAATCTGGAAGAGAGCAATCCCATAACAACTATAACCAGAGTTTCAGAGGGGAAAAAAATGGATTGGGCTATAAAGTCTATACAAATACCTGAAAAAATGAAGAGATTTTTAAAAAATGAAATTATAAATGAAATTAAAGTTCAAGAGGAAAAAATTGAAAGAAAAATAGAATAAAAAGTGGAAACTTTTACTTAAGTGGCAGATTCCACAAAAAATAAAATGGAGTAAACATAACTCAACTTCATGAGACAAGAAATATTAAAAGAAAGTCAAAAGACTAAAAAAAAAAAAAGAAAATGTAAAGTACTGATGATCAAAATAACTGACCTGGAAAACCGGTCAAGGAAAAATAATTTACAAATCAGGATTCCTTCTTAAGGTGGCAGCATGAAAGATTATAACAGAAATCCAGCTCTTCTACATGTTCTCTAACAAAAATCTATGAAGGCCACTTGATCAAATAATGATTGAAAAATTCAAAGAAGAATAATAGTAAGCTCTCTCATCCAGCCTATGATGGCAGGCACACACACACACACACACACACACACACACACACACACACACACACTCACACACACACACACCCCATATGCCAGTAGCTTGTGGGACTCTTCTGCCTGGGAAGCCAGTGGGAGTATAGGCAAACAATTCAGAAGTCTGCTAGCATTCTGATCAGATAAATTCCAGAGACACCTGAAACCTGACCAGAGTACTCAGACAAGGAAGCTTCAGATGGGTCAAAAATTCCAAATCCTTTGATACTCTGACCACTAACATAGGACCAAAAACTGGCAGTGCTCTGACCAGGACACCCTAGAGGGGCCAGAAATCTGCAGTACTCTGACCTGAGGTGCTATAGAGGTCCCTGAAAACTGATACACTTAGAACCTATAGGATGCAGAGGGACTTGAAACCTGTCAGAGTTCTGAATACAAACACACCATTGGAGATGGAAACCAATGATAGGAACCCAAGAAATTGAGTTCAGGACCAAATAATACTGATATTTCCTAACTCCCATTCCAGACTATAGAAGAGGGCAGAGCCTAGCCCTGGCACTGGCCTAATGTCCACAAATAAACTGAGGCTGGAGATAGGGGTAAACACAAAAATACAGTGAACACTGTGAAGAAATATTATGAATCATATGATGCTCAAGAGGTTTGAAAACCAAAAGAGTATAACTCCACATTAATTATAAGAAGAACAGAAATTGCTTGGACAAAGGCTACAAGCCTACATAGAAAGACATACACAAGAGATGAAGGAATTAGAAAGAGAATAGCTTGGAACAGAAGCAGGAAATTACCCAAATAACAACTTCCTGAAAATAGAAGCAGAGACCTCAACTTCATGACCCCATGACAGAAAAAAAAAGGTTAGAACAAAGGCAAAAGATTGAAAAAAATGGAAACAAATATAAAGGACCTTATTTAAAAAACAACAAAAACAAAAAACCTGGAAAAATAAATGACAATATAGGAATCATCTGACAAAACAAAAAACTTGGATACCATACTATTTCAAGAAATAATAAAATGAAAACTACTCAGATCTATAAAAACAGAAGACAAACTAAAATAAAATTGATGAGTCACCTCCTGAAAGTAACCTCAAAATTAAAATATCCAAGAATATCATTGCCAAAATACGGAAATTCTAGGTCAAAGAAAAATATTTCAAGAATCCAGAAAAGGAAAGAGTTTAAGTACCAAGCAACCATAGTCATAATTACATAAGACTTTCCAGTAATGATTATAAAGAGAAGAAAATCTTAGAATATGGCATTACAAAAGGAAAAATGAAGGTTTACAATAAAAAATAACCAAACTTGCAAGACTGAGTATAATTCTACATGAGAAAAAAAATGGAAACTTAATGACTAGAAGGCTTTCAATTATTCCTGGTGAAAAGGTAAATGCTGAGTAGAAACTCTGAAATGCAAACACCAGAATTAAGAGAAATCTAGAAAGGTAAATACATTTGAGCAATTGGAAGGGGCTAAATGATGGAGTACTTACATTCTAATGTGGGGAAAACAGACAAGTATCTTTTCAGAACCTTAATGTCTTTAAGGGTAACACTAGGAGTTGAATAAGACAGAAGGCATAGGAATTGATTTTGTTCTGCTTAAATGGTTTTAAGAGGAAGGAAAAGAGAGAGAAAAAGGAATATATTAGGGAAGAAGAGAGGAAGAAGAGGGTAGAACTATTGGGGTGTAGGAGATGACTATATAAACATAGAGAAAGGTATGGGGGCAGCAGATATCACATGAACTTTACTCTTATCTGAACCAGACAAATGAAGCTTGCATACACAAGCACAGACACAAAGAGTTTTGTCAGAAATATTTTCAACTCAACAGAGAAATAGTCAAAGATAGTAAGAGAAAGAATGGCACTATAAGACAGTACAAGTGGGAACAAAATAGCCACAACCAAGACAAATTTCAACTTTTGAGGGTAAATCACTAATGAGAGAATAAAAGGAAAGCAGTAAAGGATAAGAATAAGTGATTGGGGTCCACACAAAGGGAAGAGAGGAGTTACAATGGAATGAAAGCAGACCATTTTAATTTTGGACCCTAATGTTGTTCAAATTTCTTCTCTTTTACCACCTCTTACAATACAATACAACAAACATTGATTAAGGACCTACTGTGTGCTAAGCACTGTGGTAAACACTGGGAATATAGCTTCTTTCTAAAGGGGGAGAGTTGAGAGGGAAAGGAAGGCAGGGAGTAATAGTTGGATTGGTATAGCACTAAATTTGTGAGCTAATTTAGTTAGTCATTTTTATAGGCCTAACCATGAATGACTTTTTTTTTTGTAGGAAGGCCTCCATATATCTAAGAAAAATGGTCCAAATCATACAAGGCTATTCCTTATTCAAGAGAAATTTAAAAAAAAAAAAACAACCAAAAACTAAACCATGACAGACCATAGAAGCAAAAGTAATTAGTTTTCACTTCAAAATAATTTATCATGAAAAGTTGAGCTTTCAATGGGAAAAGATAGATTTTCAGTAAAAGGGAGCGATTAAATGCTTTGGGGCCTTCCCCGTGTTCTCGCCTTTATTATTCCATTTCTTCCAATGCCTTATTATCCTAATCATATGCTTTGTCCTAACTATAACCTACAATCTACCCCCAGATGCTTAGCTGGGCACTACCTTTGTGCTAATTACTACGTCCTCCTTTTCTAGTCTTCGTCTTCTTGGAGAGCCAGTTCAGTTCTACACTAGCTGTTTCATTAAATCTCTTATTCCTTTGTCTTATCATTGATTTTACCTTGTCATATCTTGACTCCTACCATCAACCTCCCATGCTTCTACTCTTATTCTACTGAAAGAAGCTAGAGGAAGACACAAAAACTATGTTGACTTGGGCCAATACAAATTTGTGTTATCAAATCTTAACTGGACCCTCTCTATAGCAAGATAATCCTTCTGCTCCTTCAATGAGGTATTTTACATTTTCTTCCTTTTTTTTCATTTTTAAAATTTTGTTTGATTCTTAATATCTCATAGAGTCATTAACTTCCACTTGCCTCATTCTAATTTTTAAGAAATTATTTTCTTCAGTTACCTTTTGTACCCCCTTTTCCATTTGGCCAATTCTACTTTTTAAGGAGTTGTTTTCTTTTTACAAGTTGTTGACTCTTTTTTCATGATTTTCTTGAATCACTCTCATTTCTTTTCTCAATTTTTCTTCTATATCTCTTAAATGATTTTTTAGCTTTTCCAGGAAGACCTTTTGGGCTTGAGACCAATTCATAGCTCTCTTTGAG